CGACGACGACGACGACCGGGACGAGGACGACCGGGACGAGGACGACCGGGACGAGGACGACCGGGACGAGGACGACCGGGACGAGGACGACCGGGACGAGGACGACAAAGATGTTTCTTAATCCAAAATTTCAAAAAACTGACTTTGCATTGCAATACCTCCACTCCAGGGGCACGTAGGAGAAAAGTAAAAACACTTTTATTATGCAAATCGTACCCAAGCTATCGATTAAGCGCAGTCTCAATTTCGTCGGATCAGCCGTTGTTGAGATCCGAAAATCTGAGGGCCCGTCAACTCGTGTACTCGCGTAAACTTACACGGTCGGTCTCGCACGCGTGTACTATACTATAATACCCGCCGGAGTCCTGTCCGGAATTCCAGAACCGGGAAGAGTTGAGCGAGAACGGATCGTTACAGGCACTTTGACATATCCTTCGTACGCAGTACCTATTCCACGTGTAGGATCGATCCCCAGTGGTCGTTTCGCTGGAACAAGCATGTCGCGAATGTTATATGACAAGAAACTAGTAGCTTAATATATGTATAAATATAAATTTTAGCACGCTAGAAAGGCGAGCTTTTGACTTGGATTACTTACTTTGATCATGGGGCACAGGACACATCGGAGGTACTTCGTCGCAACAAGGCATATGGCAGGCGAAGCCACACACTTCGCACACGACTCCTTGCCTCGTTAAACCGACCATCAAAGACGTGCAGTGATTACACTTTGTAGGCGCTGAAAACGTCCGCACGAGAAATTGGTGTGACTTAGGCTTTGGTTGCAAATTGGCTTGACCGTGAGTGGACGAAGATTTGTTCAAAAGTTCGTGGGATAATGGCGAAGTTGGATCCTAAAAGGAGAAAAAAAGAAACTGTAGGAAAAGAAGTAGAACCAAGAGCGCAATGTATATTACACAAAGCACGTTACAATCTACTTTTCGTTATTCGAAATCACACGTGTAAAAATAAAATAATAGTAAACATAAAATGTGCGCGTGTCAAGATACTTACGATACTAAGTTCAGACAGATTACTCTTGCTGCTCGTGATACTAGGTGCACGATTGTCCTCGATGTCTCCTTCCACACTGTCGACGCTTCCATGACGCGTGCTACTTGTCGTTTCTTTAAGGAAGTGCTCGAGATATGACATCTGCGATGTAGGACGTTCTAGAACTAATGAGAGAAACGAAAATCGGATAAGCAAGCGTGCCGATGATAGGGGAAAGTTACAAATGTAAAATATTTGCGAACATGGGAAAAATAACACCACCGTCCTAGCGCTAGGATTTCAGTGACATGTAATATCTTACCTAAAAATACGGTAAATCTCTTAGCACACTTGTACATTTGTCAAGTATACATGCTTTGAAGATTATTTAGATTCTCTGCTAAATCTTCCCGTGACACAGTCAGAACTTCCATGCCAGACTGCAAAACATTTATAAATTATAAATTTGTTATGTTTTATGAAGAATCACAGAAAATAATCAAAGAAAGAGAAATCTATATGCACATTCGTATACTTACTTTATATTACGAAAGAGAATCTCGAAAGGATCGATTGTGTGATTATTAATTAACCGCCAGTGAATAATCGGTGATTGATGTCACACAATGCAGAGGCCCAACTACCGGACCTCGCGCGGGATAATGCAATCCCTATTGAATGATGCAACCCGCGAGTATCAAAAAATTTTGTCTTCAGCCAGAAGATGTGCGAACCGCTCAACGTCCCAAACGGAACTATCGACAACGACCACTGACAATCCACATCCGAGCGCACGAGACGTTGATTGGCTAATGCTGGTTTACCTATCCAAGTTCCGCCGCGCGGAAAACTACCGCGTCCAATGGGCAGAAGTCATTACATAAAAGCTGTTAGTTCATTGGATATCGCACGGCGCGCGTGTCGCGTGGCGCGTCGCGTGTGACAATGGGTGCATTCGTTTACGCAGTGACTGCAGCAGATGTAGTTCGTTTACTCTGCCTGCGAAACGACTGCAGCGCAGTTTGTCGTTCGTTTACGCAGAGATGCATCCTATCTGCGCAGCTACTTCGGAGGTCCTGCTCTGGATGCTCTGCTTGCAGTACTGCGTAAGAAAACGGAAAACTGTCTGGAAAGCAACAATTGTACGTTAGTGCTATCCTTAATTGACAATGAATTATTTCATAAAAGTAAAAAATCAAAGAGGTGAAGATCACCTGTTAGAAATTGATCCTACAAAAATGAAATTAATGCAAGGTAAGTTATATGGAAAACTGAGCAGTTCATTATTTCATATTTACGATCACATTAACCTAAAAATCCACACCTATTAAGAAGGTAAATTGAATATAATTTGTAGCTCATGTAAAACTGAACTGAACTTTATTCTGAAACTCTGTAAATAATTTTGTAATTTTTTGTGGGTTTTATGAATTTATTTCAGGTGCAGATTCTACTGCAATTCCTGATTATAAAATAACTTCGTCTACAATCGATGTACAAGGACCGTCAGAGAAACGTGAATTTAATATTTCGATTCCGTCCTCATCACTTTCCCACAGTGTTGTACGTACACCTTTAACTTCTCCAAAGCACTTGACGTCAAAACCAACAGTCCAAGGTATGTATAATAGTTCTAGTAGAATTCAGAATGTAATAGCATAGGCCGGTATTCATAGTCAGATCTTATATTTAAGACCGTCTTAAGTTTATCTTAAGATACTGTATTATATGGATCATTTTATTGCCCATACAGCACAAGAACATCCAGCAACATTGCAGAAACATTGCAGCAACATTGCAATGTTGCTGGACGTTCTTGTGCTGTATGGGTGGTTATAAAGTCTAAAAATAACATTAATAAGATCTTAAATATAAGATCTGACTATGAATACCGGCCATAGTGTAAATTCCTGGTGTGTAATTATACTTTTTAAAATCTTGTAACAAATATTCATTCTTTATTGCACATTTCTGTTCCTTTGCACCACAATTCATAGATTTCGACAATCGTCAAGCTTTTCATTTGATTGATACAATGACAACTTCTGGGCTTCCATTTGCTACTATTCCTTCTTCACTTTTGCATCCAAATCCTATGGACGATATGGAAAAACAATTGCCTGCAAAGAAATTGAAAACAGAAGCATCTTTACCACCAACAGAAAGTAAGTAATCAAGGAACTTCATTTCTATTTATTATTTTTATTATGCATGTGGGTGAAAACTGAATCAAACTTTTCTTCTATTGAACATTTAAAAAATTATAACCAAAAAATTGAAAAAGATATAAAGAAAATCAATTTTGGAAGTCATTTTATGTCATTATGTATGGAAGTCATCATAAAATTTTCATTATATTCATGTTTTATAAATAAAATAATTTTTTATTTTAATTTCAGATGCCTCTAAAGAGAGTTGGACAGAAGCAGAAATTCAGCTTTTACTTGAACGACGTCTTAGTATGAATGATAAGTTTGAAAACCCGAACAGCCGAAAAACACCATATTGGAATTGAATTGTTAAAGCTTTTGAAGAAAAGGGTTACAAAGTAAAAA